AATAGTCCTGAAGCAGATGAATGTGTGATTCAGACCCGATTAGCTGCTCAGGGTACCCCCATTTGGGGCCTCTGCAGCATTGTTTTCAGAAAAAGGTAATGGTACCTTTATTAAAGGTCTCAACTGAGAGCAGCAGTATTAGTGGACATTTCCACAGCTAGTGTTAACTACTGGCTGGCCCAAATAAGTACAAACCCGCAATGTCCTGATGCCTTTCCTGCAAGGTAGAAACAAGTAGGAACGTGCCGTCAGAGGTAGCTCATGCATGCCAGTGCAAATTCTGGTCTTCGTTATTTGTGGGGATCTCAACTGGGGCAATTTCATGCTACATACTGTAGGAAAACCTGGGTGCAACACAGTATTGCTGTGCAACCCGCACCTGAGGAGTAGAAGATGCTTTAAATCTTGGTTATTTAGAAAATGTTGCAATCTAATACGTTTTTGCTGTTTGTGAACGTGCAAAAGGTGTCGTCTACTAATTTCAGAAAATTGCCCACAAGTATTTGCCCTGTTGGATGTGGAAGATTGCAGTCATTTTGGTTGGTTTTTCCTAGTTCTTCACCTCTACTCTGTGTGAATTTTGAATGACCAAGGAGTTTATATGGTGTAAGGAAGCCAAAAAAAATTTTTTTTTAAATATCCTTGGATTGTATTTAACAGTTCTCAAGACTTTTGCTCCCAAATGTGTCTTCTGCCTGTGTACTCTCCCTTTGCAGGTGTACACACCCCTTGCAGTTTAAGAATTGCTGGCTTGCTGCCCACCTCACCAACCACGCATGTGACCAGTTTCCCTGGATGCCGAGCCATGCTTCTCTGCTGGGTGCTTTGGAGTCCCCTTCACACTGACAGGTCACCTGTCAGCGGTGCCTCTCTCAGCTGCGCTTCCCTCCCCTTCCTTCTCCTTCGCCTGGCGTAACAGCCTTTTTCCTTGCTGGTGCTGTTTGATCTCATCCAGTCTCACCTCTTCCCCTGGAAGGCCGGAGTCACTCTTTTGAGCCTTTTTTATTGTCTGCCAAGAGCTCGCCGTAGCTTCAAGCAGCCAAGGTGCTTTGCTCCTGGTAGACCACTGCTTGTTCTCTTCTCCCAGCTCAGCCTTGCTGTGTGTGCTCAGAAATGTTGGGACAGGGCAGCACGAACGGTTAGAGGTGCTACTTTGCCTCCAATGGTATTTAACTTCACAAATCATCTTTACATTGAGCTGGCTGCCTCAGGATGGTACAAAACTAAGGCCGTGCCCAGGGGTAGATGTTAGAGCTGTGAGGGCAAAGGAGCTGCCAACCTGGTTTGATCATGTCTCATGAAGTTTCGAGGTGGTACTTGAAAGCAGAGTGAAGGCAGTCTCCAAGTACTGGCAGTGTTGCCAGCAGAGGTGAACGGCATATCAGAGGAGATTGCATTGTGCTCCACTGGATGAGACGAGTTTGACTTGCTTACATATGAAAAAAACCTTTCTTTCAAGACAAAATAGCAGGAAAAGTGGATCAGCAGACCTGTTTGTGAAGGGAATGCTCGGTCAGTAGGAGC